TGGCAACATGTCCAAAGTATGTCAGACGAAGCCCCAGAATCCTTGCCTCCAAGGAGTAGCTTGGTTTAATCCTCTCCAAGATAAATATGTTTGTTTTCCTGGCAGTCCAGGGTACATTCAGTACCTTTCTCCAGCACCACAGCTCAAAAGCATCCACTCTCCTTCTGTCCTCCCTAGTCATTGTCCAACTCTCTGATGCATAACAAGCGATTGCAAATACCATGGGCTGTATCAGGCGCACCTTAGTCTCCAGAGAGACACTGTTACTCCTGAGTACCTTTGAGAGGTCCCTAACAGCAGACTTTCCCATTGCGATACGCTTTTTGATTTCCTGACTGCTGGTGCCAAGAGTGTTGACTGTGGAGCCGAGCAAACTGAAGCTGTGAACACTCTCAATCTCTTCGTCATCCATCCTGACGCTGCCAATTGGTCCAGTGGCGAGAATCTTTGTCTTCTTGACATTGAGCCTCAGTCCATACTGAAGGCTGCAGTCCTTGACCCTTCGCAGCAAGCGCATGAGGTCCTCCTCAGTTTCAGCAAGCAGGGTTGTATCATCTGCATAACGCAGATTGTTAATAGATCTTCCACAAATCCTGATGCCACAATTCTCCTCATAGAGCCCAGTCTCTCGGATAATCTGCTCTGCATACATGTTGAAAAGGTATGGAGACAGGATACATCCCTGGCGTACACCCTTCTCAATTTTGAACCATGCAGTGTTACCCTGCTCTGTTCTGACTACTGCCTCTTGGTCCAAGTATAGGTTTCGCATTAGCACAATTAAATGTTCTGGGATTCCCATTCTTCTCAGAGTCAGCCCCAGTTTGTTATGATCCACACAGTCAAATGCCTTTGCATAATCAATGAAACACATATAGACATTCTTCTGGTATTCTCTGCTTTCAGCCAAGATCCATCTAGCATCAGCAACAATATCTCTAGTACCAAGACCCCTTCTAAACCCAGCCTGGACTTCTGGCAGTTCTCTGCTGATGTACTGTTCCAGTCGTTTTTGGATAATCTTCAGTAGAATCTTGCTTGCATGTGAAGTCAATGATATTGTTCTGTAGTTTCCACACTCAGTTGGGTCGCCCTTCTTTGGGATGGGAACAAATATAGACCTCTTCCAGTCAGTTGGCCAAGTGGTTGTTCTCCAGATTTCTTGGCACAACTTGGTGAGCACATCCAGGGCAACATCTGGAGAACAACCACTTGGAAACATATAGTCTCTATGAGTTGGAATCAACTCAACGACTGACAAGTAAGCTGGGTTTGTTTTTTTTTTTTAGGTAGATGGTAGAAAAGTATTCTGTTGCTTTTACTTATAAGTTATTTAAAATTCAATCTATGAGTTCCTTCCTTGTGAAATTTAGGCATCAACACCTTCCTCTCCTTGTTGCTTTGTTTAATCTCCACCAAATTTTCTACATCTTTTTTTTATCAATTGCCCTTAAATTCTTCTTCCTTCAAAAGACATTATCAAAGTATTTTATTTGCCTTTACGTCATCCTAGGTGCATTCCAACCCTCAAAATTGGTGATCAAATACCAGTGTCAAACTATCTTTCATCTCTGTTTTGCTAAGAAAGAAATATATTTATTCTATTCATTTGCCACTTATCTTTTCATTCTATAACAAAGTACCTGTAGCCAGAGACTCTTCTTATTTATTGTCCACTGTTGTTGTGTACAATTGAGTTGGAATAGACCCATAGCTGACCTTATGGTGGGTTTTCAGAGGTAGTTTAATCACACAAGAGGAGATTGTCCATCTTCCACAAGAGCAAGTGGTTTTGAACAACATACCTTTGTGATTGCAACATAGCTTCTTACCACCAGGTCATGAGAGCTCCCTATCATCCATATGAAAATCTAATCCACACTTTTAAGACACACACACTTGACATTTAAGATGTGACAAGGTGGTAAGAAATTGTGCTGCCAACCTAAAGGTACATGGCTCAAATCCACCAGCTACTCCACAGAAGAAAAATAAGTAATCATCCCTCTCCAATTTTCTCCCTCTGCAAAACCACTGGAGAGTCAGTTCTGACTCAACAGTACAAAGCAAATATTAACAAATAAGAATGTGTTTATATGTTATATCATTTTAAACCTTGCACATAATAGGCACTGTGTCCACTAAATGTGATGGGTTATTTCTCAATAGAATTTGCTAAAGTATACAGAATTTTTTTAAAGGGGATATTTAGGGTGAACTTTCTAGTGTTTGTAAGTCTATCACTAACATTGCAAATGCATTGAGCAAGGTATTCCAACTGGTGAGTACAGCCCACAGCTGCAACTGAATGTAGGCTGCCTGCTTGCAAGGTCCAAAAAAAAAAAAAAAAGAAAAAAGTTGGACGAACAGAGGGCTCTTGATTTATTTTTGAAGAAAGGAAGGCCACCCGATAGATTTCCAGCTGTAAATCGGTCAAGGCTGGAGCTTGGTTCACTGAAACCATGATTCAAGCCAATTCTTATTTTCCCATGGCTGACTCTGAGCCTTGGCTCAAAGCACTACAGTCTTTCCCATAAGGCTAACCTGGGACATGACACCAAGAAAGAAAGGCCTTCCAGGAATTAGATGAGGAGCAAAATAAAAGGCCTCCAAACTTGGGCCAGGCTGCCACTCAGTGAGGCAAACACCCAAATCACAATACCTGGTTCCCAATAAGGCAGAAAAGAAAATCTTAGCTCCTTTCCAAATCAGCTCCTCTCCAACTCACAGCCAATCCAGATGCCCAGAAAACAGCAGGATTATGCTAAAAAATTTGCCAAGACAACACTAGATGCTCGTAATAGTTAGAAGAATAGAGACATTGAGGTGGAAAATGTAATGATTTTTCCAAACTTTGGGAAGTTTAAGGATACCTTCTATCAGAAATAAGGGTGGTGAGGAACACATTTGACACTGAGAACACCTGGTGTAACTTGCACCATGTGGCAGTGCCAGGCTTTGTGCTGGAGTATTTCCTTCCTCTCCAGACATCTGGGTTATTGTTAAAATCACTGGCTCATGCTACTATTTGGAAATCCAGAAAGCAAATGGTTTGAATTTTAGCTAACCACTAAACATTTGACTTCATAGCATTGTCTTTTGGGTTTTTATTTAATCCCCAGGAGTAGGAATGCAGCCTGGTCTAGTGAGGACCCATGGATCAATACTGTAGGTGGGAGAAATTACAAATATTTTGCAATTTCAAATTCTCTAGGACGTCTGTGACCTAGTGGCAAGAAGCTGTGCTGCAACCCTGAAGGCATGCAGTTCAACTCCACCGGCTGCTCTGCATGGGAGAAGAATGAGCAATCTCCTCCCATGCAATTAACTGCCTCTGAAAACTAGCCAGAGGGTCAGCTATGGGTCATTTCCAACTCTACAGGACACAGCAACACGTTTCTGAGGAGTCACTTGGATAGTACAGTTAGGTGTTCAGCTTCCCGTCAGAAGGTGACAGAGACAGATGAGTCTGGCAATCTGCTTCTGAAAGGTCACGGCCTTGAAACTCCATAGAGCACATATTACTCTACAAACATGTGGTCATCAAGAATCAGAGTCAACTTGATAGCAACTGGTTTGGTTTGGGTTCGGTTGTCCCTGTCACAGCTCACTGACTTCCAGTTCCCTGTCCAATCAAGTCGGGGGATGATGAAGGTCATAGTAATACTATTTGCCTAATGGATGCCTACTATGCAACAAGCATGCACACACATTGTATCATCCTCTAAAGTGAGACTTAGAAGGTGATTTGGTTAAGATCGTACAATAATTAAATTGTGGCTCTGAATTTGAACTCTTCCTTTGACTCCAAGACCTCTCTTGTGCCTCTCATAGATGTTCATGTCTTTTATTGTTGTTTTTGTTAAGGACAATGTCTTTTTGGTTTCCCCCTTCTCTCTCCCAAACATACACAAAGCACAGCTCATAGATAAACCAATCAGCAATGCACAGGGATTTACAATGGGACTAAAGAGGATGCCGTTTCTTTTCCTATGGAGATATTTCAGGAGAAGGTGAACAAATAAAAGAGGGAAAACTCGAGCTGTCAAGTCACTTCTGACTAGAAGAATAGACCTGTGTTTCATGGGGTTTTCAGGCTGAGTTTTTAAAATTTAAAATTTAAAAAATTTAAAATTGTTGCTAGGCCTTTTTTAAAAGGTGCCTCTGAGTGGATGCAAACCTTCATTTAACAGCAAGTATGTTAATCATTGCACCACTAGGGGGCTCCCATAGTAGAGAATGCATTCAGGAATGAAATTTTTAAAAAGAAGAGAGTCCTCAAAATGGACTGCTATAAAAATAAAGTGGGTGGGTTAAACGATGAATTTCTGACTATGAGGCTTGACTATTCACACTAAATCTTGCAATGTTCCCAAGAGAATTGCAATAACTTAGATCTCAGCTGTCCAACACTGAGCTGTATGCTTCACGCCTTTCACATGCATCATTAATATGAAAAATTGTGAAAACTCTAAATTCAGCCAAGTTCTGCTTTCCAAAAGCACTCGGGCACAGTTCGCTCCCTACTTTCAGTGGCTTTTGATTTATCTTAACTGCTTTGCTCAGCCCTGGTTAATCCCCCTCCCCACCCCCCATGACAGAAGTCAAGTGCTTCCAAGGGTCTGGAAGTCCCCGTCTGTGCATGAGTCACCTGTAGGAGGATCAGATGACGCTGCTCACAAGGCAAAAAGACTCTGAATCCAAAAGAGTCTCAGTACCTCGCTCATGCTCCTCCCATTGCATTACCTTTCTTGGTTTTTTCCATTTTATTGACTTTCAAACCATAAAAGTGTTTGTATGTTTTTTGTTTGCCAGTACTAAAAAACAAACCTCTACATCACTGTATAAAGAGGCAAGCAAATGGACCTGTTACCACAAGGAAAAAAGACCCTCTGATTATCTGAATTTCTCTTTCGGTTTCCGACCCCACGTTACCCCTGTATAAGTTTATCTCTTTGTTAAATAGAAGAAAAGTAAGAGGGAGAAAAATGTTAGCAAACCTAGCTGGAAATGGTCAATTTTCATGGAGCTGTTGCTGACAGGGCCGAAGATAGTGATGACGGAGATTTTCCGGGTGGCCATCTTGCAAAAACTTTCCAGATATTCATCTCGCTGTTGCACGTACATGTTGTTCTCAGACTTAGGAGCCGTGATCAGCTGCAGGGGATGAAGGCAGCATAGATTAATTCATCGTGATCGTGTCACACTAAGATAAGCAAAACACTGAGAGAACGATTTAGAGGGCCAGCAGTCGTTGGCATCTCAACTATTAACCTGCTGGACGTTTAAGAAAATTAGAAACAAGAGAGAAATATTTGTAAATAACTTTCCACACAACTTGCCGTTTTCTGATCAGTCTCGCTATTATGCTTTTATTACTTCATTCCCCTGGGTCTTGGTTGTCTCATTTGTGAACTCTGTACAGGAGTACTTATTTTGCAAGACTGACTATGAGCATTACACGATAATTTGGCACATAGCAAGTGCTCAGTAAGTGTTATTTCCCTTCCCTCATTTGACCTTGCTCGTCCTGATGGGTTAATCAGATACTTATGGATTCTGATCAGACATTCACTGATTTAGTAGTTACTACTACTACAACGCCACATTCAACAGGGTTTTACAAGCAAACCTTGGGCACAAAGGGAAGTTCTAAGGTTCAGAATTTTTTCTTTTTTTAAAAAATTTATTAATTTTATTGAACATTTACATAGACTTTGGATTTCCATTCATTCATTATTGCATTTTTCTCCCTGCCGACCCCCCCCTCAGTTCACTCTTCTCTTTGAAAAGTAAAAGAAAAATTCTTTCATATACAATCCCCCCCACTGCCACCCTGAGTACACTCCACTATGCAATCTTCATTCTGGACTCTTGTTGTAACTGTAATACCCAATCATATATCACTTTTAAAGTGTTCCCTCCCTCATCTGTTTCAATGCAATATACATAATTTACCCAATTTTTCTGTCTCATGCCAACCCTGATGTCAGTCCTGTTCTACAACAGTGGCACTATGCAGTATTTGTCCTTTTGTGACTGAGATATTTCACTCAGCATAATGTCCTGCAGGCTCACCCATTTTGAATAATATTGTATGAGTTCCTTGTTTTTCAATGCAGCGTAGTATTCTATTGTGTGAATATACCACAGCTTCTCTATCCATTTGTTTGTTGACGGGCACTTAGTTTGTTTCCAACCCTTTGCTATTGTGAACAAAGCCACAATAAACATGGGTGTGCATATATCTGCCTGGGTGGCAATTATGGTTTCTTTAGAAATTAAAACTTCTTTTAGAATTTTTTCATTTACTCTCAGAGAAATTTTCTAGGATGAGTTTGAGGCTTATGCTATGTCAAAGAAGATGTTCACTCTCACAGAGTGCTTATATATAGAGTGTCTTCTGGGAATCTTTAGATACTGGAAGGTGGTTTTGATTCTTTCAGTTTAGCCTGCTGTCTGAATTTAGGTCTGGCATTTTTCACTTTGACCCTTATCTTCCACCTCAGAAAGTCTCACTCTTGTGCAGTAAAAGCTCCTAACTTCTTCAGAGGAAAAAGATTAAAGACAGAGAAATGGAAAGAGATGTTTGACTCACTAGCCATTTGGGGAAATATTTGTATTTCACATAAAATAGGAAGACCTCTGCATTTTAGAGAGTCGAACTTGAGTCAAAAGTACGTAACAACAATGACAATTGGAATCTCTTGTGAGTTAGGAGGTAAGGAGTTGCACTGCCAAACCAAACCATGTGGTTTGAATCCACCATCTGCTCTGCTCCTTGGGAGAAAGATGAGCACTCTCCTGTGCGATTTACCGCCTTGGAAAACTCACTCCGTCGCTCTGGTGGCTCAATGGTGGGTCAGCTCTGAGTTGATTCTGACTTGGTGGCACATAACAACAACAACAACTTTAATCCATGAATGTTGCTGTGTTTTTTTTCCTCGAACCTAAGTATTTTCCACCCCCTTGATAATTTTATTGATAGATATATTTTTAAACCGTCAGCTGTTTAATCTTCTTACTGTGAGCTGAATGAAAGTTCACAAAGCCACCTGGTTTTTCTTTTTTCATTCAACTAAGAGAGGAAGACCCCTGATGAGACGGAGCGATTCATTGACTGGGGTAATGGGAGTAGGTGTGTCAGAGACAGTGATGTTGGCACAGGATAGAACAGGTTTGAGGGCTCTTGTACATAGGTCACTATGAGTCGCAAGCAACTCAACAGCACATAACAACAATTCATATATGCTTTGTTTTATAACATTAACTATGTGTACAATAAAATGACACTTTTTCTATTTTCTCCCAGCAATTCTTACCTTCCCCAGCCCTTTAACGCTACCTCCTGTGTTCAGAGCTCTATACGGGGGCAAGTGCTTCTTTCTTAACCTTATATGGTTAGTTAGTCAAAGAAATGAGCATCACTCCCTTGATTATTTTAGACTCCTTTTTTTGAATCTTCTCCAGTATCACCAGCTTTTTCTGAGCTGAAATCAGAACTGTGTGGCTCTATGCTCTGAGTCACGGTGCTATTCAACCTGGAAGTGGAAAGATGAGTGTTTCGTTCTTATCATCTCTCCTGACGGTGACCACACTCTGAACTAATGTTTGCAATGGACACTTGCATAATTTACCCTTTGCTGATTCATCACTGAGCTCCTAGGTAAGACCCTTTAAATTCTTCACCCCTGAACGTTGTTTTTACATATGACCATCTTCTAATTTACCAGGCACTTAGTCTTCTTACCCATCTAGCCTTATAAAATATTTCTGCTGTCTAAAATACCAATTACAGTCAGATCAGCTCAGACCCCTTATTTGTCAGATTAGAGCTATGCTACAGAGGTCTTTATAAGGTGAATTTTTCCACCATGGAAGTGGGTTATAGGGCTTTTATTGAAAAGTGTTTCTAAGTGGACTCAAACCTTAAATTTTCTGTTAAAATTAAAATGTGTTAACAATTTGCACCACCTAGTTTGACATTCTTCAGAGAAGAAAACATATTGTTAAACCTTTTCCAAACATTTTATAAAATATACTTATTGAATCCAAGCCCCGCTGCTTATTTTTCCCTGTTGGAGATAATGTTTATTGCTATACGTAGGTTTTTCCCTTTCAAGGTTTCTCTATATAAAACAAAATAGAATCTCTCATGGAAATGAAAATGTGGACAACAGCCTTTGAGTGAAACATTAACAAAGGTTTTCTGGTATGAAATTATTTCTTTCCAATAATTTCTTTTAATTAGACACAATCTAGTTTATTTTTTATTTATATGCCTGTCCAGATTGACATGGCCAGTAGGAAATGCTTGTTTTCAGAAACATAATTTGTCAATGGGAATAATAATAATCACTCCCCAAATTTTTTTATATGAGAGTGCATGTGTTTGTGTTACTATGCTACATGCTGTTGAGCGAATTCTATGTTTAAATGCTGGTCCAGAAAGAGATGGTGAGCAGAAAATATCTGTTTTAGAAATGCAATTTCCAAAGGCGTAGAAATAATATTACTTGCATCTTGTTATTTGTACCATTGAGTCAGAACTGACCCTTAGCTGACCCTCCAGCGGGTTTTCAGCGGCAGTATCACAGTGCAGGAGATTGCCCATCCTTCTCCCGCAGCTTGTGGAGCGGCTAGTGGATTCAAACTGTGTGCCTTTGGAATTGCAGCACAGTTTCTTACCATTAGGCCACCAGAGCTCCCTATGGCATTAATCTATTAATATGTGTGTGTGTGTGTGTGCGCGCGCGCGGGCGCTAGGTATTAATGAGTTGGTTCCTATTCATTGAACAGTAGAATGTAACACTACACAGTCCCCCCAATTGTTACCTTTAGGCGCCTTTGTTGCAGCCACTGCTTGTCAATTTGTCTTGTTGATGGCCTTCCTCTTTGTCTTTGTTCCAATATGTGACATGTTTGCTCAAATATATAGCACCTTAGCTTTTTAACACTTTAAAGAAGTGCTTTGCAACAGATTAGCTTTTCAACACTTTAAAGAAGTCTTTAAACACTTTGCTTTTTATAACACTTTCAGTGTCCTCAAAGTGACATTTTTGCTTTATAACATTTTAAATCGGTTGCAACTCATTTGTCCAAAACAGTTACATCATTTGATTTCTTGTCTGCTATTTTCATGGTTGTTGATTGTAGATTCAAGAAAATTGGAAGACTTAATAACTTCCATTATTTCTCTGTTTAGCATAGTAGGAATTGCTGCTTATTGGCACAGTTGTAAAGACATTTTCTGCATATTGAGGTACAATCCATACTGAAGGTTGTAATCTCTGATTTTCATCACTACATGCTTCATATCCTCTGCACCTTCAGAAAGCAAGATTGTGTCATTTTGCATCTCACAGATGTTGATAAGTCTCCCTTCAATCTTGATACTTTTATAGTACAGCTTCTTGGATTACTTGTTTAGCATACATGTGGCCAGGTCTGGTGAAAAGATGCTATCTTGGGGCACACTTTTCCTGGTTTTAAACCATGCAGTGTCCCCTTGCTCTGTTTAAACAACTGCTTCTTGGTTCATGTTTACGTTTCACATGAGCATAATTAAATGTTCTGGAATCCCTGTTTTTTACAATGTCATTCATAATTTGTTATGGTCAGCGTAGTCGGGTATCTTTGCATGGTCAGCAAGACATGGTAAATATCTTTCTGATATTCTCTGCTTTTTACTAAGATCCGTCAGACACCAACAATGATTTATGAGCTCTTCTGTATCCAGCTTGAGTTTCTAACAGTTCTGTAGCCATGAGCTGATCCAAATATTTTTTCATTATTTTCAGCAAAATTTTTACTTGTGTAAAATAGTAATGATATTATTCAATAATTTCTGTAATCTGTTGGATCAACTTTCTTTTGAATGGGCAGGAACATGGATTTCTTCTAGGCAGTCCGTCTGGCCATTTCAAAGCCAATTTAAGGTGTTTACAAGCAAATAGAGCGATATTATTGTTGGTTTGCTTGTTTGTTTTAATTAGCTATATGACACTTGAAAATATTTCTTCAGGTTTGGATGATAGCCTAAATTTTGCAGTTATATTTTCATTTAGCATATTTTAGGTTTTTCTTTTTGGCTGATCTTTGCTTATAAACACACCATTTTAAAATAAATAAAATTATGTATTAGTGAAAACATAAGA